AGGGCCGGTGCCCCTCTCAGGCCACTGGGCCCTTGCAGGATTTGCCTGCAGCAAGCACCAAGACTACAACCGGCTTTGGAATAGGTCTTCAACGCCTCAGTGTTAAGAATCAAATAGCCTGTAGAGCCAGACAGAACAGTCAGTGTGGATTCACATATACCTTACTAGGTAGGACACAGAGATTAGATACTCCTCACTGGGGAATGGAAGAATTCTCTACACACCCCTCCTAAAACTGTTCTGCACCTCAACTGTTGTCATATGCCTTGCTAGAGTTATAAGCTAGTTTAGACTATCCTAAAATCAGCCAGGTTCAGCAGAAATCATGCCTCAACGCTATGGACTGCTAAATACTAAAATGATAGACATGAGACAGCTGAGTAGTACCCTACAGCCATTTTAAGGTGTATAGAGGCTGGTTATATATTAACCAAAACCAAAATGTGAATGAAGTAGTCACAGGATGAGGTTGAGAGCTTGCATCTTATAACATATTGGTTACTCAATACCATGACAATTAATGCCATAATGTTGTAAATTGTTGTTGATGTTAAGTTGGGGCCTTTTATTGACCAGGATGATATTCTGCTGGCTCTACCTCCAGACCAGAGATGATCTCCCCAAGAAACCGTTGAATGTATCTGGACAATTAGATGCTGGACTCTTTGTTGGTATATGCTTGCAATGAAAGACTCAACCAAATTTGATTTGTATTACTGCAACAAGGTGGAGGAATCCACCACAGGGGTAGGGGAGAGGGAAGGACTGAGGGAATCCCAGAGCCTATGAAACTGTGTCACATAATACAATGTAATTAATAATAATAAAAGAAAAAAAAAAGAACCAAATAGCCTGTCAGATCAGAAGCACTTGTGATAGGTTGAAGCAGGAAACAAACATTGGTAGTAAGGGATTTCCTGAGAAACACAGAAGCCATCAATTACTCAGCCTTCACACCAACATTATATCAGCAAACCTGTTATTTTTTTTAGCATCTTATATGCCACCAACTGCAGAGGCAGCACGCAAACCCTATCCTGCTCAGGGGCCCTATTTGCAAGGGGCCCAGACATCTAACTTGCCCCCATGGAGGATGGGAAGTGTGTGTGTAAAAATGTGTACCTTCAGGAAACAGGGGGAAAAAAAGACACGACACTTTTAATTATACCAAGTTTTAAATTTATAAACACAAATGAAATACAGAAGGCTAACCATATTTTACAAGTGACGAGCACAAATGGGATATTAGCAAAATATACTTAGCAGTCCAGCATTTCTGATTTGTACAGGGCACTATCTGAAATCATTCTTACATCATTCCTTCACATATTGGTATTTTGGATGGGAATGCAAGAGACGATGCCTTATGATGTGAATGTTACTAGAGACAGGTGTCAGCTAGGTGCTTCAGCTGCCAGAAGCCAGGTCCAGCCACAGCCCAGAGTGCCTCATCTTCCCTCCAGTCACATTTTCAAGTTCACCAGATCCTGGGGATCCCTGCTCAGACAATGCCAGGGCTACACTGCTGAATGTCGGCTCATCGACTTCTTTTTAAATCCCACCACTTGCTTCATGAGGGTACTTCAAAAAGCTCAGGGAAAAATGCAACTAATCAGCATTTTGGTGTCAAGATCTTGAAATCCATGCATAGTTTTGTTACAATATGCATTTTTGGTAAGCTCTTTGAAGACCTTCTCACACTATCACCAGATGTGACAGTAAATCTTGGAAAAGATCCAGGTCATCAGCAAGCTCTAGTCAGTGAAAAATAACATATGAGGGCACTGAGAAATGGAAATGTCAACCTACTGGTGGTGACAGAAACGCCTCAGGGGGAATTTTGGCCTATTACTGTATGAGCATATTTCAAGAAGGGGAGAAGGGGTCTGACTAGCTCCTTAAAAATAACTTCACATTCTCTGAGAGCTGTCCCAGAGACCTCCAGGAAACTTTGGAATCAGCTACAAACTCAACATTGAATCACTGTGAATGTGATAAGGAATGAAGAGCTAGCAAAGGAAAGCTCTTTTTTTTTTTTCTTATTTATTTTTATTGGAAAGGCGTATAGAGAGAGAGGAGAGACAGAGAACAAGATCTTACATCCGATGATTCACTTCCCAAGTGGCCACAACGGCTGGAGCCAAGCGCTGATCCAAAAGCCTCCTCCAGGTCTCCCATGTGGGTGCAGGGTCCCAAGGCTTTGGGCCGTCCTCGACTGTCTTCCCAGGCCACAAGCAGGGAGCTGCATGGGAAGTGGGGCTGCCAGGATTAGAACCAGCGCCCACATGGGATCCTGGCGTGTGCAAGGCAACGACTCTAACTGCTAGGCTACCATGCCAGGCCCAGCTCTAGGTTTTCACATATTATCCAATGCCAACATCATAATGCTGTAAAGCTATAGGTGAAACTGTAGACCCAAAACTACTGATTTGCTGTAACAAACTACAAGTTCTCTAAAGTTAACACATTAATTCCTTTGCATCTGGGTTCCTCTCTAAAATGGGGCTCACTCCCTTGCAAAACTGCTGAAAAGTGCGTTTGAACATCGTGCTGTAGGGAGGTGGACAGACAGTAAATAAAATCAATGTCCCAGTACTAAAGATTTCTCCTTTCCTCCCTCAAGGCCAAAAGATAGGGCCAACACTGCCATGTAGCAAGCTAGGCTGCTGCCTTTGACACGAACATCCCATATGGGCACCGATCTGAACCCATGCAGCTCCACTTCCAATCCTATTTTCCAGGCCAATATGCCTGGAAAAGCAACATAAGATGGCTCAAGTGCTTGGACCCCTGCATTCAATTGGGCTACCCAGAGTTAAGCTCTTGGCTCTTCAACCCCAAGCTGCCAATGGCCATCTGGGGAGTGAACTAGTGGATGAAAGCTCACTCTTTCCTCTTTGTAATTCTACTTTTTGAATGAATAAATCTTAAAGAGACTTAAGAACACAAACTTATATTCTGTTGGACCAATTAAACATGTTCAGACACATTACATGCCCTCAAGGATTATTTATTTTCAAAAAGATATTTTAAATTCTGACTACTTCTCCTGAAACCTCCAAGGATTTACTCTTATCTGCTAACAACAACCCTTTAAATGTTACATATTCAGCTTTCATCCAGAGGTCTGTGGAAAAGCAGGCCCGATGTCAACACAAAGGAGTAGTGACTCTTGCTCAACAGGGTTCAGAGGATCTGAGCTGCAGTTAGGAAGTGATTCCAACATTCTGCAACGCTTCTTCTGGCTGAGGCCTTCACATTTGCTTTGAAACAGATTATCAGAATATTCAAGTATACCTTTATTCAAGTGAAGTACAAAAGAACATTCCTAAGCCAAACGCATACATATGCTTTTTACATATTATAGTATTTATTTGGTGATTAATTAATCCTGTTTCATAGTCATCAGAGGTGACTATTGATAAGATATACATATTTAACAGGAAAAAATCATGCATTTTCCATTTTTTATTTCTAGATCAATTTCTTTAAGAACCATCCCTTGTCCTTATTAAGATCCTATACTTGCTGATAGAAAAAGTTAAAATACAGTGGCAAAACTATGCTAGGTTAGTCACAAGAGGCTTACAGCTCATAAGCAATTGATTTTTATGTATTTGTTGAGGATCCCTAGTAAATATTAACACCCAAACTATGAAAGCCTCAATTGCTGGATTGACAACTAGAATTTTAATTAACACTTGTCTTATTCACAAAATGCTATGAAGCTTAAGGTGGAAAAATAAGAGTGTAATAAAATGCTTTGACAACACCTAAATTATGAACTTTTTAGGAATACAAAAGTGATCTAAACTGCAGCTAACATCCATAACCACTTTTATGGATCAAAAAAGCCATGTTCTTTTATATGGACTATAGATCCTATTAAAATATAAAAATATCCTTATACACAAAGCCCATACTTCAAATACTGTCCTAGATTGAAGAAGGGAAATCAGAGGAGGGATCCAAACCACTTTCTTATCTCTAGGAACATCACATGAGCATAGCAACATGTTTATTAGAAGGCTGCATTCCATTACAAAGCTCTCTCTATATGTTCTTTACAGTTGCCCAAACAGCAGACCCGAGCATTTTGCTGGCCTTCAATACAGGCATATTAAGAAACTCTAAATATGAACAAGCAGAATAGGCACTGAATGAATCCAGAGGCCTCAAGCAATCTTGTTGGTTCAGATACCCTTATTCAGTTTAAATGTTTAGCCAGCCATAAACTCAAGGAAACTAAATCATACACAAGGATGGGCTGGATGTGGAAATCCAATTCCTTTAAAAAAGATGCTTTGCCTTAGGGAAGAAAACACCAGACTAGCAACATCAAGTAGGGATAGCAAGTCTGCCAATAAAAAGCTTCAAACTGGAAAATCACCATTTGAAAATGCCTGACAAAATGAAAAAAAAAAAAAAATCAAAAGAAATCTAAGTGTTGTGGATGAAGAGTAGGCCTAAGTGTCTGCTTTGGTGAGAACCTGGGCTTACAAGAACAGAGAATGCCATGAGAAAACGGGGTTGTTTTATTTACAAAGTCATCCCTCAAAATTCAATTCTTCTGCAGTGAAAAATATTGGAATTAAATTCTAACAATTTTACAAATAATTCAAGAAATTTTCAAGAATTTTTCAAGAGTTTTCAAGAAATTTTCAAGAATTTTGAAGAAAAATCAAGAATTTTCTCTCCAATATGTGCATGCTAGTAAATTGAAAGACATTTTCTCCATTTGTATCGTTTCAGATTCTCATTTGGTAGAGACCTTCTGATCGTAATGAAAACTTGAAGTCCTGGTGAACTGGCCACATTTACTACTTTTGAATGACTTCTCTTGGGCAGATTCTTGGATGCTCAATCACTGTTATGACTGAATCTCTTCACACACACACACAAACTTATTACATTCATGGGTTTTCTGCTGGCATGAATTCAAATAAGAGTTTTTGTTTATTTTTGGTCTGTTTTGTTTTTGACTGATGATTTTCACATACTCATTTCAGTAATGGAACTTTATTCTAGAATGAATTTCCCAATTGTGACCAAGATATGAAAATAGTATGAAGAATTAACCCCACTCAATACATTCAAATGTTCTTGCTGGTATATGGACTTGCAAGAAGCAATTAAAATTTTAACACAAATCCTTTTTCTACAGTCATTGCACTCATCATGTGATTCCCTTGGTGTGAATTAAGAGTTAAGTTATAAGGAAAGGCTTTACCACATTTAGTACGTACATGATTTCTCCTAGGGGTGAACTCTCAGATGTTGAAAGAGGCCTGAACTTGATTAAATGTCTTCCCACGTTCATTACATTCATAAGGTTTCTCTTTGGTATGAATTCTTTGATGTTGAACAAGGTGCGATCTCTGACTGATGTTCTCTTCCCAAGCATCACAATTCAAGGTTTTTTCTCTGTTAAGGACTTCTTGTTGCAGGGCAAGATCTGAACCATAACTAAAACTTTCTTCATAATCATTACATTCATACGGCTTCTCCTTCCGATGCGTTTTGTGATGCTCAATAAGGCATGAGGTCTGACTGAAAGCTTTTCCACATTCATTACATTCATGTGGCTTATCTCTTGCGTGAATTCTTTGATGCTGAATAAGGTGTGAATTCAATCTGAAGTCTTTTCCACATTCATTACATGTATACGGCTTTTCTCTGAAATTAGCTCCTTGATGTTTAACATAGGACAACCCAGATTCATTATACTCATAGGATTTTTCTTGATGATGGATTCTCTGATGTTCAATTAGGTATGAAGTATGACAGAAGTCACTGCCACACACAGTACATTTACAGGGCATCTCCTTATGAATTCTCTGATGTTGAGTAAGGTGTACACTACGGCTGAAGACTCTTTCACAGCTGCCACATTTGTAAGACTTGGCTCTGGTGTGAACTTTCTTATGCTGAATGACATCTGAGCTCTGAGTATAGGATTTATCAGATACATCACAGGATTTATCAGACACTTCACATTTATAGGGTTTTTCTCTAGTGTGAATTCTTTTATGTCTACTAAGACTTGAGCTCTGACTAAAAGATTTTTCACATTCTTTACACTTGTAGGGCTTCTCCCTAGTATGGATTCTCTGATGTCTAGTAAGAGCTGAACTCTGATGGAAGATTTTCCCACATTCATCACATTTATAAGATTTCTCAGGAGTAGGAATGTTCTCCCACTTACTTAGGTGGGAAATATCCATTAAGCTTTCCTTATAGTCACTACTCTGAAAATTTTGTGTTTGATTTACATTTTCATGTTTATCAACAGCTGAGTTCTGGTTGAAGTTCATGTCACATTTAGTATCATCAATATTCTGTATTCTAAGAACTCTCTGATCTGTGTCAAGGGTGGAGTCCAGACTGAAGCTTTTTTCGGGATCATTGTATTCATTGTTCTCATTCGTGAAGGCTTTCTTGCTGATTGTTATTTGCCTAAATTCTCTCTCCAGAAAGAGAAATTTCCTTAGAATTTCCTGAAGCCTTTCTAGTCTGTCCTCAGATTTATAAACTTCTCTAGTCTCAGGAACGTGGGCAACATCCTGTTTGAGTCTTCCTACTCTTACTTCGTATGAATGTACTTCTTCCGAAATGTTCTGCTTAGGAACCAACAGCTTGTTCTCTTCTGTGATCTCTCCATCTGATACAATATAAATAGAAAATGCAAATGTAATCTGTACCCTGTGCTTAAAAAAAAATTAAACCCAAGAAGAGAAAACTAAATAATACACTATCAACAAAAGTAACAAAATGTAAATATTCTGCAAAACAGGCACAAAATCTCAATAGCAAACAGAAGAGCATGAAGAGAAGCAGTGAGATACAAAATAGTTTAGAGACAGAAACAAGGTATTTTTAGCATAGCAAGAAGATAAAACAGGGTGCATCAAAATAGAATACTGAGAAAAAGTTTGTAAGAATGTTCCATTAGCAGTTTCAATAAGGACCTATGTACAACTTGTGTGTAATGAGCTAAATAAATGTAAAAAGGGTCAACCTAAACTTCAGGGACAAGATGGGAGCACTCCAGTACACCATAGGCAGAACACTTCATGCTGAGTGCCTGACCAGATACAACTTGGCTCAACAACTGGATTTTACTTTCCTACTAATTCCATCGGATTGATTCTGCCTTACTCACCTGAGCAGTCATCTGTTAAGACTTCTCTATTCTTAGTTTCCAAATCAAAGACCTCAAGATCTTGCTCCAGCTGGGAGATCCCATCAGGCTTGGAAATTGGAAATCCTGCTCATAGAGAAGGAAATGGGACATGGCAGTATATCCCAGATGCTAAACCAAACACTTTCTCTTCTAACGATTCATAGGGGGAAGGTAGTTCTGGAAGACATTCATTAAAATAATGTAGAGACTGAACAAAGTAAAGATCCTCTGAAGGGAGCTCAGAGTTCTGCTAAAGGACAAACTAATAACCTGAAGCAGAAGTATACATTTAAACACTATTCACATGAGAAATTGTTCATGGATGTCTTCACAGAAGTTATCCTTACCACTCTCCATTTGAGCCTAAAGATCAATATTTGTGTTAGATGTGGTCTTCAAATATCAAAAGGGAGACCATCAACACCATTCTGCTGGACAAAAAAAAGATGAACCCAAGCACCTGTTGCATGCATGGTCAGCTAAACCACAGCAACATAATCAGTCAAGATCATAAATATTCTGAGGACCAATCTCAAGAAATCACTGGTTTCAGTGCAGTAGAGCAAACAATATGGCACATCTTTATCCATTCAGTATACATTATTGCTTATTCAAAAAGCTGTCTCCTATGTACAAAGTATGCAAGGGATGAAAGCTCATGGAAAAGATCTCTCCCCCAAGGACTACACACTAACTGCAGGACAGTTATAAACAATGCAAAGTGCAATAAAATCCATCCACATGTAAAATGGTCTTTCTATAACTCACATTATGAACAAGTAGGATTTTCTCTTAATGCCACAGCAACAAATGATGTGCTTTTGAAGAGGATCTCTATCAAAGGACAATTTTATACATAGGGGCCCAGCTTCTAGTAGCACACATGCAATGTCTTTCTCAGGGCAAGTAATTTGGCCCCATGGTTAAGACATCCATAGCCTGTATCTGCATGCCTGAGTCCAAACCCCTGGCTCTAGTTCCTATTTCCAGTTTGTCTACAAATGTAAATGTGAGAGGCAGCATCAGATGGCAAAAGTACCCGTCCCCATCATCCACTTGGACACCTGAATTCCCAGCTCCCAGCTTTGGCCAGATCCAGCCCCTGACCACTGCATACTTTTAGGGAGTGAATCAGTGAGTATTGCCGCTGGGGACAAAGGGAACCAGAAATAAAAACATCTAACCAAAAAGATAAAACAGATCTAAAGACATTGCTGAATTCCTACTGGGCATGAAAATAATCAATTCTCATTCTAGATACTTTTTCAACTTTTAACTTTGAGAAGTATACTATTGTGCTTTCAAGTACATTATACTTGAAATCAATTTTGGAAACTTACCCTCTATTTACACTTAAAATACATGTGCACTGTGCTCACTTAGGCAGCACATATACTGAGATATGTGTGTACAACAACAAACACTCAAGTGAGATAAGAAGTTTGGTTTTAAACTTGCAAAGAAAATGCATATCAAGCACAGATGAGATTCTAGGTTAGAAGACAGGATTTGAGATACAGATAAAAGTCTCGCCTAAATCATTATCAAATACTAAGGTTTACTGTGCACTTGGGTACAAAGTACCTTCACATTCCCCATAATATGAAGAGGTAGGAACAAATGGGAATACTAAGTATTGTGACTAATACAAAGTGTAACAACTGCTGGATTCAAATGCAAAGTCATTTCAGAATTCAGCTTTTAAGCAACTGTCTAGAAAAAAGAAATTGTGAACTGATTTTCATCCTTTACTCCAAAATAAACTTACAAAAACTAACATGTTGACAATGAAGTAAAAGACAAAAATAAAAACACAGAAAAGGTGGTTAGAATAAAATATGGATGGCCAGGTATACTGAAATTTTAATTAGGGGCTGGTATACAATGGCTCAACCCATTAATGCTTCATCTGCAAGCACCAGCCTCCCATATGGCCACTATTTCCTATCCCGGCTGTTCCATTTCCCAGCAGCCCCCTGGCTTATAACGGAGAAAATGGTAAAAGTTGGCCTAAGTCCCTGCAAACCTGCCTCCACCATGCAAGACTCAAAAGAGGCTTCTGGCTTCAGATCAGCTCAGCACTGGCCATTGCAGCCATTTTGGGAGTCAATCAGAGGATGGAAAATCTTTCCATCTCTCCTTTTCTTTCTAAACTCTGCCTTTCCAATAAAGTAAATCTCTAAAAAAAAAAACTTAATTAAAAGGAATCTAAGAGACCATTTAGTATCAAAGAATGTAAATCTCCTGAGAAAAGTCAAACCTCTAATATTCAAGTTAAGGACAATTCTACAAAAATCACCTTAACACATTCAAGTTCTTATCACTTGCTCTTCTCTCCATTTAAGTAACTAATGCAAGTCAGGCACTTACACTCTGCAGTCTAATTTAATCCTCCAACAAACTCATAAAAGTACACATTCATCTTTTGTCTTATAAATGAAATCAGTGTCAGATCAAACAATCTGCTCAACATATCACAATGATGACTGGAACTCATAGTTTGATTCCTTAGGGCACCAGCTCAAGTCCTTGCTGCTCTCTCTCTGATCCAGCTCCTGCAAAAGCATCTAGAAAAGCAGAGCAAAATGACCCAAGGACTTGCATCCCTGCACCCACCTAGAGTCCAAGCAGCAGCTCCTGGCTCTTGGCTTGGATCTGGCCCAGCCCTGGATGTCACAATCAGGAAGCAAACCAGCAGCTAGAAGAGTACTCTGCCTCTTTGTCTCTGCCTTTCCAATACATAAATCTTTATTATTATTACTTTCTGTTTGAAAGGCAAAGTTACAGAGGAGAGACAGATCTTCCATCTGCCTGTTCACTCACCAAATGGCCACAACAGCCAGAAGCGAGCCAATCGAAAGCCAGGAGCTTCTTCTGGGCCACCCACAAGTGCAAAGAGTCATCCTTCACTGTTTTCCCAGCCCATAAACCCATAAACAGGAAGCTGAAGGGGAAATGGAGCAGCCAGTACACAAACTAGCACCCATGTGGGATGCAGGCAAAGTTACACCTACTATACCATGGCACCAGCCTCAATAAACATTTAAAATAAACAAAATGATGTTAAGTTTTCTTCCTGCTGGCCAGAATGCTTTTTAAATTTAACTGAAAACTCTATACTTTCAATTATGTGCTTGTGAAGTGGACCACTGGAACGTAAAAGTGCAGGTGCCACCTCACTTCCACTCAGGCTTCCTCCTAATGCACCTGGAAGGAAGAGGCAGACACTGGCCCAGGTCCTTGGGATACTGGCCACCTGTGTCAGGGACCTCAGAGATTCTGGCAATCAGCTTCAGCCTGGCCCACTCCCAGTTGCTGCAGGCATTTGGGGAGTGGGCCAGTGGATGGAAGAACTACGTTTCTCCCTTGTGCACTTGGCCTTTCAAATCAATCTTGGTTTCTGATTGTTCTAATGCAGTCTAGTAAAAACACCACTTAGAACTTACCTTATTGTTTGGCTTGTTGTTTTTACCAGCATTTTAACAAGATTTTAGTTATCTGAAAGTTTCGTGCCTTTCTTCCTGGTCCTTAAGAAATACACAAATAAAGCCTCTCCTTATTAACAGCATCTTCCTTTTGTAAACACTCAATGCACTGCAAAGTTTACGTAACACAGTTCAGCTTCTTGAATTAACGCTGCTTATGGTTTCAAAATGCAGAAACTGGTCCCTCCATTCAACTGACCGTGGCTATTTTGATTTTTTTCTTATCAGAGTACAATCTATCAAAAATATAAGAAACCCTTACTATGGTTGAAGCTCTACCCTAAAGGCATGAAATTGGAACTGGAAAAGAACATGGGCTTCAGACAGATCAGAAACCTAGCATGTAACTTCTCTGCCAGTTTTCTCAGAAATGAAACAGTATCATCTGCTCATAGAGTTGTACTAAGGACTAAATGAGATACACATCTATAGTACCCAGTAACACACAATAATAAATAGTAAGGGCCACAGCTACAGAAAACTCAGCAAATACACTGTCAGTTCTGTAAGTCTCCAACTTTAAAAAGCACAAGATACATATCAAACATTCCCAATCTATCAACTCACTAATCATCGACTAAAATTTCGTTAAGGGTTAAGTACATTACAAATGTCATCATCTAACAGGGCTCCTAAAACACTGTCATGAAATTAAGCTGGGATCCTTTCCAGGTTTTAATCTCTACAACTAAATCACAGTTAACTTCCCTTTGGGTTTAACACTCAAACAGGTTATTCAACCATCACCACCACTACATTCTCTTGGGGCCTGCATGGTGGCAGAATAGGCTAATCCTCAGCCTGGGGCATCAATCCGAGTCCTGGCTAATCCACTTCTGATTCAGCTCCCTGCTATGGTCTAGGAAAGCAGAAGATGGCCTAAGGCGTTGGGCCCTTGCAACATATGGCAGACCAGAAAGAAGCTCCTGGCTCTTGCTTCTGACTGACCCAGCTCTGGCCATTTGGGGAGTGAACAAACAGGTGGAAGATTTTCTCTGTCTCTCACTGTATCTGTAATTCTTTCAAGTAAAACAAATTTTTTTTTTTAAAAAAGAATTTTTTTAATTGGGTAAAGTTGTCTACTTTTATTCAGCTCTCTAGTAGAAACCAAAACACCAGAGTCCTGATGTTCGTGACAAACATGATTCAGATCTATGTCCACGGAGAAAATATGCAAAACAGAAAGTGAGGCTGTTAAGTCAGGGACTGAGTTTAAAAGTCTTTATTTTATGACCCCAAATGGTAAGTTGCATTAATACACGTATAAGCTTCACTTAGAAGTGGAGTTTGTTGCACCCACAATATGAAAATGATTTCTCAAAGACTATAAAAGTAATTGCTAGAGAGATGCTGCCAACTATGTCACAAAAACATGTTGAGTAGGAGAGTGTCTTAACACTGTGCCTGGTGTGTACGGGTGTACAAGTATGCCCAACGCGTGCAGAGACAGAACAAAGAGAAAAGTTCCGTCTCATACCATGCTGTTAGGCTACGTTAGATACTACAAAGTTTTTTGTTTTGTTTTTTTTACTCCAAAGAAGACAGGTATGCCTGCTAGAAATTCTGAAATTTCAGAATTGTAAATCAACAGTTTACAGTGTACAGTTTACAAAGTTATTAATTATACATTCATTGTTATGTCATGAAATAATTTAACTTCTTTGTCCTCCCTTTTTTCCACCCATCGAGGATAGTGCTAATGCACTATAAACCCATCTATTTGTAAAGCACCACAAAGAATTGAGGGGGAGGAAGGCAGACGTTGAAGAGGGTAACAGGGCTCTCAAGGGAAGAGAAAACTATGATGCCAGATATGAGGAAAGCCCAGGAAGCCCAGGGGGTCAGGCCACAGGAACACATCTCGTGTCTGCTCCAGAAAAGATGGGACACAAGGTACGTTTCACATTCCGAAGTAACATGGGATGACTGTAAACTGAAGAGCTGGAGCTGAACACAAGCAGATGACCATCAACTGCAGGTTTCTGAATGAACTGGGTTCACACTGCGCCTGTTTCCTTGGCCCCTTATGTTAGAAATTTAACAAGGTCATTTGAGGAGCTGAAATTTTACATAGTGGTGGCATCCTGGGGAGCATCTATTCCAACCATCAAGTTTAGCATCTTACAATCGTAGCAAAGAAGTTTCCGAGCAGGGACGAAGACTATCGATGGGAAGCCGATACTTGGACCATCTCTTGGAGATTCCTGCTGTAAGGACTGCAAGTGTTTCTCCAGAGAAAGCACTTGCCTGGGTATGACTCAGGGCCGGGCAGGAATTCACACTATGAATCCGGGTGGTAGGAAGGCGGAGAAGTATGCCTACAAAGATCAAAGAGCCAGGAATAGAAAACACACACTAAAAATCTTCTCAAAGGACAAGAGAAGAACTCTTGAATCCTGAATACAACCAGAGAGACAAAGCAATAGGCTGGATGCTACTAGCACAAAGCAGAAAGAAAAAAAGGGAAGGAGAGGAAGGTGAGTAAATACAAATACCCATATATAAAAATGGAACAGAAAAAAAGTGCAAGAAAGAACACTCACATTAAAAGAACCAAAACCACCCACTGATACTTCCTGGTAGCATTAGACTGCCTAAGAGCAGAGGCTCAGTTTAAGAATTTACCCGTTTCATTACATCAGTAAAAGCTTGAGACTTCTGCCGCCCTAGGTATGATCACTTGGGATTAACATCTAGGTGACTCGCTGAAATGTACTCACAATGAGTGCAGTCTTTAGATGAAGTCTCTGAAATTCCATTGCTTACAGATGAATATGGGGATCTTAACAGATACAAGAATTTTTGCCTGAGGGACTACTCTACAAGGATTGGAGCCTGCCTTTTAAGACTTTTCTTCTTTCTAGAAAAATGGGAGATTCTCAGACACTGGGTAGTGAAATGTGGGTAGGGGTTGGAGGCTGCCCCAGAGTCTCTCATAAAAAAAGTCAGGGAAGATGAGAACCTAAGCAGAACACAAGTAAGGTTCTCTTTACTAACATAACAAAGAACGTCCCACAAAAATAGAAACCTGAACTGAAAATAAAGAGTATTAATGTCTCTTTCAAAGTTCCCCAAAGGAACTTTAATTATCCTTCTGGGAGGAGATGATCTTAAACATACAGCATTTGGAGATTCTGAGACCTGAAATTTGAGCCACACTCTACTCAAGAGACCTCTGATCTACTCAGGAAAAAGTAAATTAATCCAAATAGGTAAGTTGAATAATAAGATGGTCCTTACCCAATGAGACCACGTTCCCATAATTTTCTAACATCACTTCTCTGTAGAGGTCCCTCTGAACAGAGTCCAGGCATCCCCATTCCTCTCGAGTTAGGTGCACAGCCACATCCTCGAATGTCACAAACTCCTGAAATAACACATTCTGGATGCTCTGGGCAATGAGGCCACAGTAACATCATGGCCAGAAAATGAAGATGATGATAGAGGATCGAGTGTGCATATATAGGGGAGGAGGGAAAATAGATAAGAAATGGGGGACTAAATCACATCACCTTTAAACATCTAATAAGTACCCATCACAGCACCACGGACAAGGAAGAGTGGTTGTGGTGCTGGGGAGATGGGAGGGTGGTTTGTGTGAAGTCCAGATCTCTGACGAAGATCAGCTCCCCAACTAGAGTCCGCTACTGAAAACAATTCTAGGAAAGGTTTGTAGATAGAATGAGCAAGAGCCCACACTTAATCAGCAGTTCCTGAGGAAAAGCAGAGGGTTCCTCAGCTCACCTGGTACAGTGCAGCTGCCTGGTCTCCTGGGCTTCCCTCGTGGGGAAGGGCAGGCACCTGGGGAACAGGTGGCGCTGAGGGAGGAGAAAGGAGCCAAGAGTGAGAGCAGCCCTTCCCCAAGGGCTCCCTTTCAGAAGAGTCCTTCCTCTCCAGGCCGAAAGGTGTCAGCGGGACCTTCCTTCACATCAACGGTATTCTAGTAAAACCAACAAACAGTTCTCAGGTAGCGGGTGTGGCTGCTCTGTCCCTGCTTAGTCTTTGCATGCCCTGGGTGGGCATGTTTGGACTTGTGTACCAGCCTCTATTATGAAATCTCATCTTCCACCTTACTCTCAGCACATGACATTCTCAGAGAAAAACGAGCAAGCAAAGACTCATAGTGACAACATATCCAGGGCCACCGTTCTTTAGTAGACTTCTGATTCTTTTCCAGACACTGGCCTATAAACTCCACAGTCTTCTCTGATAAATGGGCAATCTCTACAAGCAGTATGCAAGGCTTCCAAAATTCACAATCCTTCCTACACTTTTGCAGTGCCGCATAGCACCCTGCACATGATGGCACTCCATCTGTGTTGCTGACACACAAGTTACTTTGGACACTGGCACTGGCCACAAGCACAGTTCTTACAAAAAAAAAAGAAAAACACAGGCCAACCATCCATAAACTTTAACACGTGATACCTATACACTCGCACAGGCACTGCGCTCCACCAAGGAGGGAACTGGTTGCCTTCTCAACCACAACAAGATTAGTCACAAATGCTGGAGTTACAACAGAATGGCAGGTTGCAAAGCACACACAGTTACCAAGAAAGAAACTACGTGAAGGGAGGAGGTGGGAAAGGCCTTGAATCGAAGAGGAAATGAGAGTCACACAAGGACTGTGGCAAAAGCAGCAAACTTCAGAAATTATTTTGGATGTGGTAACCAAGACGAAAGAAAAAGTTGCCTGAAGGAAAAACAGCCAGAGGGGAGTGATCACCACTTTGCTCACCAAAGGATGAGCTGTCCTTAACAGACAAGCCCAGAGGAGGAAATAACCAGTCACATGTGCCCCCTCCCTTCCAGCCCTCCCCTCAGGGGCCGCCATCTTCTGGGAGTTACTGGCCTCTCTGCCACCAAGCCCAGCATCCCCTCCATATTCCCCTCGCTCTCCTGAACGAGTGTTGCCTTTGCCTTACCCTCAGGCAGTCCCTGTTCCATGTCGCTGTCCTGCGCGTACTGAGGCTCCCGGGACAGATACTCAGACCGGTGGTCCAGAGACTCCGCTGCATCCTGGGCCGGAAGCTCCTCCATCCCTGCTCTGGAGGACAAGAACCATCACTGTGGGATGAGATTAGGAGAAAGCACAGTCATCAGTGAAAATAGCCCCTCACATTTTACACTCAGGACTTCGTAAAGTATGTCACACCCGAACAAATCCTCTCTAAGAACTACCTGATGAGGATTAGTCACCTAAAACAAACGGGCATCAACGTAGTTCCAAATATTTAAGAAACATACGGTCCATATCTAAAAGTACACTTAAACACTAGCTCAAGTTGTGTTATCAAAAAAAAAAAAAAAAACCACCACCCACGCACAGTTCAATTTAACCGTGTAAAAGCTTCCTGCGCAATTTAAAAATATTTAAATGTGACCACCTTGCCAAGCTCAAGCCTCTACCCAGAAAAACATACTTGTGGTGATTACTCATTGTTTTCCACAGGCAGGCCCCTCGGGAACTGCTAGGTGTTTGGCAACAGCCCACCCCACATTACAACAAGGGCTTTCCGAATAATAAGACCCACTTTTGGGGTCGGAAGGCCGGGCGCCTCTGATCGGGTGCGCAGGCCGCCCCGCCGCTGCCCCGCACCCGGACGCCCGCAATCCTGGGGGGAACGCAAGGAAAAAGCTGCGATTCGCAGAGATTTGCCTGGTGTCCTTCAAACCCAAGGACGCACGACACGGGTGCCGTCCTCCGTCCACAAGCCCCAGGACCGGCCCTCCCCGCCTCCGGCCCGGTCGGGCTCGAGGAGGCCTCGCCCGGCGCTGCTCTCCACGCACTTCCCTTTCGGATGAAGGCACGGACCCACCAGGGCGAGGCCGGCCGGACAGACCGAGTTCACCTCAGGACGCGGTCAGCAAGGTTCGGACGCCGGGGGCCCCTCTGTCCGCGCCCGACGTCCGGGCCAAGCGAAAACAGGAAAGACAAGCAGGCCCCTCACCCCCGGGGCCGCCGCGCGCTCCGGAGCACGGGATCCGCCGGCGGCCTGGCCACAGGGCTCTTTTCTCCTCCCCGTTCTGGGGCGGTGAAGCGGGGGGCCGCCTCCGTCGCGACCCCAGGGTCGGCTTCAGGGAACTAACTCACCCGAGCGCAGCGCACAGCACAGCGCTTGTCGCGTCGCGCACACACTGGCTTCTACGCTGCCTCAGCCTTCCCAGCACCGCTCTAGACTGGCCGGAGGACTGCGCTTCTCGGTGGTACTTCCGGGTGGCAGAGGGAAGGCCCCGGATGAGTCCCCACCCCCACCCCCGCCCACCGCAGGATAAAGGCCCCGGATAAGGGCACCGGATGGGGTTAGGGTAGCAGCTGTCTCGGTCAGGGGCCGGCTGTGTGCCAGGTGGCATTCCACACTTCAGGTGGTTTGGCCATAAGTGAGTGCCTGCCAGGGTTTAGGGTGCGTGGCCAAGAAGAGAGGCCCATGGTGGAGACTAACCTATACAAACCCAGGGAGTGATAGCGACGGTACTGTGACACATACCCTCATTCCGGTGGCCTGGATCTTTAAATGCCTAGGAGCCAGTGTTGTGGCATAGTATATGAAGCCACTGCCTGCACTGTTGACATCCATGGGTTTGTGTCCCTGTTGCTGCACTTCCAGTGCAGCTCCCTGCTTGTGGCCTGGGAAAGCAGAGGAGGATGTCTGCAAACGTTTGGGGCCCTGCACTTGTGTAGGAGGCCAGAAAAAAGCTCCTGACTCCTGGCTTCCGATCTGCTCAGCTCCAGCCATTTGAGGTCACTTGGGGAGTGAAACAGCATTTTCTCCATAAATCTGATCTACCTGTCCAGTAAAAAGAAATCTTTTAAAAAGATAAACCCGAAGAGTGGCATTCTATATCCTTTTTTAAAAACTACATCAGCGACCGGGACTTTACTCTGTTAGCTCTACCTTCAGACCAGAGAAGTTCTCCCGTAGAAACCGCTGAACTTATCTGGACAATAAGATGCTGAACTCTATGCTAGGTATATGCATGCAATGAATGAATCCCAATTGAACTTCAACTGTGAATATGCAGCAAGGTGGAGGAATCCACCATGGGAGTAGGGTTGTGGGAGGGGTAGGGGGAATCCCAGTGCCTATAAAACTGTATCACATAATACAATGTGATTAACAATAATAAATAAATAAATAAATAAATAAATAAAAATTTAAAATTAATCTAGCTGATACAATGACACAGAATCCTTTTAGTCCACAGTGTTCTTATCACAATGGAGTCCAGATGAGAGATTGAAAAGGTACTCCTTAGGGGAAGGCAGTGGAGTGCTTAAGATACTCCCTGCGGGGGCTGCATGGTGTGTTTGGGTGTTAGTTCAAGTCCCAGGTGCTCCAAACTCTTTCAGCTCCCTGCTAATACCCCTGGGAAAGCAGCAGAGGGCGGCCTCAAGTACTTAGAGCCCTGCATCCGTGTAACAGATCTGGATGTAGTTTCCAAGCTCCTGGCTTTGGCCACGGCCATTGCAGCCATCTGGGGACTGAACCAACAGATGAAATCTCTCTCTCTCTCTCCCGTCCCTTCTTTCTCTCTGTGACTGCCTTTCAAATAAATAAATCTCAAGAAAAGATGATATACAAAGAGAAATGAACCCTTAGGTAGAGTCGAATTCAAATTGTTACAATCGGGGGAGGAGGAGTCAAAAATTGCAATATCGAAGCTATATGTCATTCCGATTAAATCAGCCTAAGAATAGGGGCCAGACATTGGTGTTATTTAAAGGTCTCCTCATGATTCCAGAGCACAGCAAAGTGTGGGCCCCCTGAAGGCCAGGCAGCCTGCAGTGGTAAAAGCACCGCAAAATGTGATTATGAGACAAAGATGTTTCCAAGTTATTGCAGGTAACATTACTCAGACCAGCCTTTACACTAGTGAAAGATTGCACACGGAATAAAAATCAAGAGCCAATAGTATTCTGAGTCCAGAAAATAATATTGAAGTAGAAAATCTGAAGAAATTTAAAGAAAAAAAAAGCTGGCCAGACTTCTTTTTAAAAAGAGGTTTCACAGTTTAAAATTTATCGGGATGACATGTAGCTTGGGTTTTGCATATGACTTTTTTCTGAGTTGGGGCTCATCCAGTGCTGTGGTATAGCAAGTAAAATCTATCAGCTATGATGATGCAGTCGCAATGGGCACAGGTTCAAGTCCAGGCTGCTCCACTTCCATTCCAGCTTCCTATTATGGGCAAAGCAAATTCTTGGGCCCCTACTCTCACATGGAAGACCCAGAAGCAGCTCATGGCCTCTGGCTTCAGATCAGCCCAACTGCAATCACAGTGGATGTTTAGGTAGTAAATGATTAATAAATCTCCCCAGTTCAAAAAAACCCGACTCCTAATATCTGGTTTCTGGCTCTTGATCTTCCACACAATGAAGGTGCCCAAGGCTTTGGGCCATCCTCTATGGCTTTCCCAGGCCACAAGCAGAAAACTAGATGAGAAGCAAGCTGCAGGACATGAACAGGTGCCCATATGGGATGCTGGCACATGGAGGTGGATGATGCCAATGAGCCATTACACTGGCCCAGTTTTTTTTAAGATGTATTTATTTTTATTGGAAAGTCAGATATACAGAGTGAAGGAAAGACAGAGAGGAAGATCTTCCATCTGCTGGTTCACTCCCCAAGTGACTACAACAGCAGGAGCTGAGCCTACCCAAAGTAAGGATCCAGGAGCCTCTTCCGGTCTCCCACGCTAGTACAGGGTCCCAAGAATTTAGGCCGGCCTCAACTGCTTTCCCAGGCCACAAGCAGTTAGATTATCTCAGCTCCAGCCATTGGGAGTGAACCAGCAGATGGAAGATCTTCCTATCTATCTCTTCTCTCTGTAACTATAACTTTCAAATAAAAATAAATACATTTTTAAAAAGTGTTATTTATTTCAGAGGTGGAAAGAAAAATAATTGACTGATAGATAGGAATAGAGTTTAGACAGGAAATAAATAGAGAGCTCGTATCACTCAATTCACTTTCCAAATGCAGATAATAGCAGGATTGAGCTAGGCTTAAGATGGGAGCCATGAGGAGCACATGATGACTCAACTCACTAATCTGCCTGCAAGCACCTGCATTCTATATAGGTGCTAGTTTGCGTCCCAGCTGCTCCACTTCCCATCCAGATCCCTACCTGTGGCCTGGGAAAGCAATGGAGAATAGCCCAAAGTGCGAATCTGTTTACATGTGGGAGACCTGGAAGAAGCTTCAGGCTTTGGATCAGCTCAGCTCCAGATATTGCAGCCATTTGGGAAGTGAACCAGTGGATGGAAGGCCTTTCTTTCTGTGTCTCTCCTTCTGTCTGTAAATCAGCCTTACCAATCAAACTTATAAAAAAAAAAAAAAAAAAAGGCCTGGTCAGATAGCCTAGTGGCTAAATCCTCGCTTTGTATTTTGTATCTGTCAGAATCCCATATGAGTGCTGGTTTGTATCCTGGCTGCTCCACTTCCCTTCCAGCTCCTTGATTCTGGCCTGAGAATACAATCGAGGATGGCCCAAAGCTTTGAGACCCTGTACCCTCTGGCTCCTGGCTTCAGATCGGTTCAACTCTGGCCGTTGTGGCCACTTTGAGAGTGAACCAGCAGATGGAAGATTTTTCTCTTTGTATCTCCTTCTCTCTGTATATCTGCCTTCCAAAAAAAAATAAAATAAAATAAATCTTTTTTTAAAAAAGATGAAACCTGGGGCCCAGCGCAATAGCATAATGGTTAAGGTCCTCGTCTTGAACGCACCAGGATCCCAAATGGGCACCAGTTCTAATCCTGGCAGCTCCACTTCCCATCCAGCTCCCTGCTTGTGGCCTAGGAAAGCAGTTAAGGATGGCCCAAAGCCTTGGAACCCTGCACCCGTGTGGGAGATCCGGAAAGAAGTTCCTGGCTCCTGGCTTCAGTTCGGCACAGCACTGGCCATTGTGGTCACTTTGGGAGTGAATCATCAGATGGAAGATCTTCCTCTCTGTATATCTGCCTTTCCAATAAAATAAATAAATCTTTTTTTAAAAAAAGATGAAAACATTAATTCAATGAAAGGTTCCCAACAATCAGAAAGCTGAACTCAGGAACCAGGCAGTCTGATGTGGGATGTAGAGAATCCAACCAGCATCTCAACCATTAGGCCAAAAGCTTGCCTCTCTTCTTTTTACAGGGATAGCATATTAGATTGTAGATTCATCCTACTCCACTCTGACCTTGATAGAATGTAAATATGATTTAGTTCCCCAAATCATGTAGACATCTATACCACAAAGCCATGAGTGGATGGTAGAGATTTTATTGGACCAAGATATTGAGGAGGTGGCCCAGTGGAAGACCCTTGGGTCACCGGGGACATGGCCTTGGTAAGCCAGAGTTAGGCTTAAGTGCATTCAGTTTCTCTGCTTCTTGGCTCGTCAGGCAATTCTTCCTCTGTTCTTGTTTCACCATCAGATACCAGACCAGACCAATGGGGCCGTGAGATCTTGGACAGTGAGCCTCCAAAATGAAAGCCAAAGTAAGAGTTCTTCATAAGTTGTTTATGTATTAGGTGGTTTCGTTGTAGTCACAAAGAGCTAATTCTAAAATAATTCCACGTGCTACAGTCCTGTTTCCAATAAGGCTACCATTTCAGGTATCGAGGTCAGGGCCTTGAAATATAAACTGGAGGTTAGAAGTGGAGATAGAAGTCAACCCATCACAAAGAGTTACAGCACAACATGACCACGTGACCCGAGCTGCCCATCATGACCTGCAATATATCTAAAATTACATGGAATTCTAAGGCACAGCAAAGATGACAACATTTCATTGTGTAA